GAACTTTCCCTCCATATCTGTCTTCAGTTGTCCGAACTCGCCTTCTAGTGCTTCCACCTTCTTTCCGGCCATCTTTCTTCTAAGAATCCCAAAAAAAATACTTCTTCCGGAAAAGAAACTTGCTGAAATTTCAGAATTTCAGCCGCCGGTGGTCCCAAATCGACGCTCTGATACCAATTTGATAGGAAATACTTGAAATCAAGTAATTCCTACCCCAAAACTGAAGCGGAACCAGGGAAAAACTGCTGTCTCCAGCAGTGGACAGCAGTTTTTTTGCAGGAAACAGTGAGGAAACGCGAGAAAACTGAGATCCAACGCATGCAACGCTAGTATTTTATTAGTAGACGAATAAAATTGCAAAGATACAATTTGTTCTTCAATTCGAGAGGAAGAACGTACTCTCCAAAGTCTCTGGCGAAGCCAAGAGCCCAAAACAAAACCTAGATCTCAAAGAGAAAACTCAAATTCAAGATAAGATTCAAATTCCCCCCCAAACTCCTAATTATACAAAATTAATCATAAAGGACAATAATAAACTTCCTAAAACTGCCTTCTCATTCAAAATATCCCTCCTAATCTCCCCCCAAGCTGCCTATGTGGACCTCACGTTTTTCCGCCCCGTCTGTTTTCTCCGCATGGAGTAACAGTGGACCGGTCCGGGTTGGACCGGTCCAGCCGGCCCCTCCTGGGCCGGCGTAACAGTTTCTAATGAAGTAACAACTGCTACATTATGAATGCCTCAATGTTAAGATTTTTGTTTCACCATACTTTAGGGATCTTGAACATAGGATTACTTTCTTGTATAAGATAGACATGATTAAAAGTAGCATGGTTTTGCACATAGGGTTGCTTTCTTGTATAAGATAAAACGTGTAAAACTAGCTTGGTTTTTAGGGAAAACAATCTACCAAGTTGAACCGTACAAACTTCTTTCATGATTCAGGTGCAGGCCAAATTTGGAATGGTGTAGAGTGACAAGTTGCACTGTTGAACAAGTTCATAATTCAGGTGCATGCCAAACTTGGAATGGTGGCCTATGTCGTTATCATACCGACTCACATGATGTAATGAATAATTTGCTAATGTTACATCTACACGGTGCAATTAGTGGCAACTTAACTAAAAATTAATCGCATTAATCAATATAATTACTGATACAATTTTTCTTACTTTTTTATCATTGTAGGATGATTTCAATTTTTTATTTCTTCTCCTTCATATGTGCAGGTGCACACTTCTCTTTATTGCGCACTTGCACTTACAAGGATTTATTGCTCATCGATAGTCAAACACTTTTTTTTTTTTATAGTCAAACACATATAATTGTAGAATTTTGGGACGATTAGTTGCTCAAGTCTTCCAGTTAGCATGTTTCTCTTCTTGATGTGCCATTTTTTCTTCTTGTAAACAGGAAGTGGATGACTGGAGTGATGATATTTCAAGTGAATCACAGGTTCATTTCAATAGTCCTTGACTTATCAAGTAGAGAACCTTAATATTATATTGCTTACATTCTTCAAGGTTTTGATGAAGAAGTTTTTCTAAATGGTGGTTATTATTTTTGTGTTATCCTTGATGGTATTTATTTGGTGATATTCTCTTTTTGGCTGTTGTTTTTTTTTGGTCTCGTAACTAACACTTTATAATTTTCATGAGTAAAATGGATAGACTGCATGTTGGATGATTACTTGAATCCCTTTTTGCAAACTGTTGCATGGGCCATGATTTACTGAATTCCACATTGTTGGCAGAAGGGTTCACTCCTTAAATGAGTTGCTGAAAATCCCCATTTTCGTTGGTTTGACCTCTGCATTTTTTTTGTTACAAGAACATGATGTGCAATGCATTTGCTCACACATAACGTGCTCTTCAGTTCCAGTGATGGGTAAATTTGCTAGTGCGCTAGTACTGCATCAGTAAATGAGGCCTTTTTATACTTGATTATGTGATCGTTGATATATGTTTCTTTAACTTTGTTTGGTTTCAAGCTGCTAATTATGTGGAACAAGCTGGGTTGCTGGGTAACAAGCAGAACTTTTTTCATACATTTTTATTTTCTATGGGGCTGTTTGGTTGGATGTATTTAAAAGAAATCCCCTGCATTTTGAATTTGGTGTTGTTTGATCGAATGTATTTCTGATGCGATGAAATTAAATTTTCTTTTTTGTTTTGACGAACTTCAAAAACATAGAAAAATCAGTTTCAATGAAGAATGTCGGGAGCTGCAGTGGTGAAGGTGGAGGCAAAGTCGGCACTTAGTAGAGGCGAGGTGGGGGTTCTGGGAGCGGAGTTGCGATGTCATAGGGTATGTGCAAGGTCGTCATTAGGTTTGCATGTGGGCTCTTTGTTGAGGCATGAGGTTCGCCACAAGGCCGTGAGTGCTCTGAGTGGAGACACAAGATCGTGATGATCATGATGATGGAGGGTGAAAGCGCAAGGCCGTGAGAGTCTGTGTGAGCTTATATATTCTTAATTCATTTGATTTGTTCGAATTTGGAATACATTGAAAATGAACTAGATGAGATATTCTAAATTCCTAACAAATTTTCTTTGCATTTGTTATACTTTCAATCAAATACCTAAAAATTAAAACCATTGCATTTCTTTTAGTCTACACTCAACATCACAATAAATTACCCATAAATATTTTGACATTTAGTGCAAAAGAAGATCTGGTCGTTTCGATAAAGATGATGAGAATCAATTCTATTAATTTTCTAAATTCTTCTCAATGTTTATTTTTTTCCTTAAATTTTCTCATCTACTACTATGCTCTACTATTGTTATAACACATTTGAATCATGCCAATTTTTTTGTTATTTTTTCTGATGAAATTTTTAACTTAAGTAGTATTTTTTTCTTAATTAATAAACTTTATTATTAGAAAGAATCAAATAAAAGATTAAAGAATAAATCTATGCAATTTTGAATCCTAAACACCAAATGCCTCATCGTGCATGCTTTCACACATAATGACATTGTTCTAGTTGGAAGCCTGCCTTATTGTTTTTTTTTTTTTGTTCTTTAAATGAAGTTTATCTTGTCTTTTGATGATTATTGCCATCTGTGTGATGTTCTTCTTTCCAGTTTGTTTGCTTCATAAGAGAGTATTCTTTATAACTTTCATGGATGAAAATGGACTACATGATGGATGATTACTTGAATCACTTTTTACTAATCATCCCATAGTCTCTGCTTTGCTTGCAACTTTGCCTCCACTTTTTTTTTTATAAGAACATGAGTGTCCTAAGTGCTGAGTGCACACACTAAATAGAAGGCGCATAGTTCCTGTGATTGAGAAATTGGCTAGTGCATTGGTATTGCATTTGCGAATGGTTCTTCGGTTTATGTTTAACTATAGGATCTTTGAAATATGTTTCTCTTACTTGGCTTGGCTTAACTATAATTATTGGAAATAGCTGAATTTTTGGGAAACAAGTACTTTTTATTCACATATTCTTTACTCTTTAAATATTTTGAGATTATAGTACCAAGAAATATCTAGTTATATAAACCTGATTTTGAGCTTTAATTACCTTGTTAACCTACCTAAAATTTTCTCCATGGTAATTTTTGTCTTACTTTTCACTTTTTTTATATACTATGAACTTTTATTATCATTAGAACTCGTTGGAATCATTGTCAATTTTTTTGTCATTTTTAGCAATTCATGATAAATTTTCTATTAGTAATCTTTTTTTTTTACATTAATATACTTTAATTAGTATAAATAGTCAAATAAAATATTAAAGAATAAATTTGAGCGTAGGAAGCAATAGCTTTAATGATAAGCTTATGGACAACTGCTATGAAAAACTAAGGGGTATGGTTGTTAATTGTGTTGTTAAAAGCGCATTCAAAGGAAAAGTTATGATATGCATAAGAGTTGTGCATTGCAGCTTTCTCACTTGCAAGAAGAATGTTGAGCACACTTTGCACAATGCTCGAGTATGAAAGCATTGTAGAAGTTCTCACACGAAGCGCTCACATGGTTGGCTCTTTGCAGTTCATCTTCATGTTGCCAACTCGCAGTTTTTGGGTTTAGCTTACACGCCTGGTAGAATGGCAGTTCAATGTCTACAATAAAAGTGGGGAGAACCCATGAAAGCAACAAGAGATGATGCTTGATCTTCTTATCTTTGTGTTTGGTTTCTCCTTCACAAGCGAACATCATAGCAATAATGCTTGATCTTTTTTTGTGTTTGGCTTCTCCTTCACAAGCGAACATCATAGCAATAATGCTTGATCTTTTTGCCTTCATCTCCAAATTCTCCTCTACATGCATACATACATTAACTCTCATCCATGCCTAGTTTTTCATCCACACGAGCATATGCCGACAACTGTACTTTCTCCTAATTCCTTTTTACCTCTCAACTTTCTCTGGTAGTTTGAATTTGTTTTATCTAGTAATGATTTTTATTTATTTTTATTAAATGAGAAGCTAGAAAATTGATGTTATAATGTCAGGTTAAAATGCTTTATTCTGTCTAGTTTTTTTTTTTTTTGTGGTTAGGAATTCAAAAAATATATAACCATGCCCATTTTATAATGAAAACTTATAGAAATCAAAATGACATGCCCAAGTTATCCTTAAGATATTTCTTTGTAATGCATTAATTAGACTGTACAAGTTAATGATTATTTATGTTCACCTCATTTGGATTTATTTTTAGACTAGAATGTAATTATAGTGATGTGAAATTTTGTTATAATTTCTATTATTTGTATTTTATGAGGGGTTCATGATCTTAAGTTATTATATTTGATTGTTTTATTATTATTTATTTATTTATTTAATTTAATGTTAGGGTGGCCGACTAGAGAAGCCATACATTTATTAAGAGGTTTGATGGAGAAATATAGAGAAAATAAAGAGGATCTACCTATGATATTTATTTATTTAGAAAGAGCATATGATAAAGTTCCAAGAGAAGTGTTATGGAGAGTTCTTGAAAAAAAAGTAGTTAATAACGCTTATATTCAAATCATTAAATATATGTATGCATGATCTATTACTTGTGTTCAAACACAATATGGTTTGACCAAGTATTTCCCTATTTCGGTTGGGTTACATCAAGGATCAGCCTTAAGCCCATATCTTTTTGCTTTAGTCATGGATGTTCTCACTAGACTTTTGCAAGAGGATGTACCTTGGTGTATGCTTTTTGCTTATGATATTCTTCTTGTTGATAAGACTAGAGAGGGAGTTGAAGGTAAACTTGAATTATGGAGGTCAACCTTAGAGTCTAAAGGTTTTCGCTTGAGTAGATCTAAAACGGAATACATGGAGTGTAATTGTAGTAGTAATAGACCTAGTGAGGAGATTGTGACTTCAGGCGATCAAGTCATTAATAAGAGTACACATTTTAGATATCTTGGATCTATTATTCAGAGTGATGGTGAAATAGATGGGGATATTATCAACAGAATTCAAGTTGGATGGTTGAAGTGTAGGAATGCATCAGGCTTGTTGTGTGATAGAAAAGTAGCCCTCAAACTTAATGGAAAATTATATAAGATGGTGGTGAGGCCTGCAATGCTTTATGGTGCTGAATGTTGGCCATTAAAAGAGAAGCATAATACTAAGTTAAGTGTGGCAGAGATGAGGATGCTTAAGTGGATGAGTGGCTTTATCCTTAAAGATAGGATACGAAATGAGCATATACGTGAAAAGATTGGAGTAGCTCCTGTAGAAGATAAGATTAGAGAGAGTCGCCTTAGATGGTTTGGTCACATAAAACAGCAGCCTTCCAATGATCCGGTTAGGAAAGTAGAGGTATTAGATTTGACTTATGTTAAGAAAGGTAGAGGCAAACCTAAAATGCCTTGGTTAGAAAATATTAGAAATGATCCTTCTTTATTAGATTTAAACGAGAATTTGACTTTCAATAGGACACAATGGAGAAAAAAAGATTCATATAGCCGACCCCACATAGTGTGATAAAGGCTTGATGTTGTTGTTGTATTGTTAGGATGGCCAATTACAAAACTAAACTTATCTTATAATTGTTTATTGGAAATATGATTGCTTGTATTTTTTAATTTGCACAAAATTATTAAAGTATTAGCTTATGTTACACTTGTTTTTTGTATATTAAATGTGTATTATATACACAAAATGTATGTGTACCCCAAGTTTTTTTTGTTTTGGTTAACAAAGATGTTGCTTTGCACTTTGAAACTTTTGCTACTGTTACTGTAAAGGTGACAATTGTAAGTCTTATGGCAGCAATTGCAGTAAACATAGGTTGGCATTTGCGAGTGGCAAGAAGTCAGACGTCGATGATCAGACTGAGATGGAGGCAACAAGAAACCTAGTGGGACAGTGAACCTATGCGTGGCGATTGCAAGAAGTCCAATGAGAGTGACAATATTGAGCTTGGAGTTTGCAAGTATTGCTCACCTTAAGGGGTGTTGTATCTAGCTCGAAAGCATTGATAGACAGAAGACGAGAGGCTACAATAATGACAGACAAAAGTAAACAATGACGAATGATCATCATAATGAATACACTGTGATGGTGTGTGCTACAATTAATGTATGGATGTTGATTGTAAAAGCTTCAAGGGGCCCCATCCTTCTCTAGAGCTCCAAACTTCTAGAAACTTGTTCCTAGTTAATTAAACCTGGGGTTTATTTATACTAAGAATAAGGTAAATTTAAGTATATGTGATCTTTAATTGATTCTCATGTGAAACAAATGGTAAAGATTTTTGTCATCACAATTTTGAAATTCAAGCCAAATTAGGATCAAATGAGACCGAACCCTTAATAGGCTTGATCAATCTTACCATTCCAAAATACAAAACAAAAGACAAAATGCCCCCTGGGGTCACAAGCACCTACTCCCTCAAGCGAGGGTAAAAATGGAAAGTGCATAAATAAATAAAAATACAAATAATAATTTAAAATAAGATGGTGCAATCAAGGCCGTCGATCTTCGTCTTCTCCTCTGATCAGCTTTCACGGTCAGATGTTCGCATCATTCTTCCGTGGTGGGAAAAAGCTCGACTCCGTCGAGTACGCATCCCGGGTGCATAGCCGTGCTCTGATACCAAACTGATGTAGAACGAGGGAGGGGTTATTTAATTTTAGGTTTTGAATTCGAATTTGGAGGGAAACCAATCTAGGAAAGAACAAAGAGGAAGGAGAGAGAGAGAGATGGGAGGCTGGCGGCTAGAGAGAAAGAGAAGAGATTAATTTCCCAAAATCTAAAGTTTAAATTCAGATTAGATAGGGCGGGATTAGGGGGTTTTGAATTTTGAATTTCAAATAGGGAGGGAAAGGAAAATTATTCCTAAATGAGAGATTTTGATTGAGGTATTTAGGAGGAGGAAAGTTAATGTGGGAAGAGAGATAGATAAAAGGAGGGGGTTGGCGGCTTGGTGAGGTGGCATAGGGTTAGGGGGGGGGGTGAGTTTAAAGCTTGCCTAATCAAGGACCTTTAATTGAGGAAAAGGATTTAAATAAAATCTAAATTGAAATTGATTTGGACTTGATTTAAGGACATCCCTAAAATAAGTATTTCAAAATTCAAAATTGATTGAATAATTTATATCAAAGCTTTCCAAAAGAGTTTGTATAGAGAAAAGAAAGTAATGATGGGAGGTTTGAATTTTGGAGGCAAAGGGATTAGGATTGGGTGAGTTCCTAAAATAGGGTTGTTTTAATTTTGGAAAGTTTTTGAAATTCAAATTTGTTTGAATTTGAATTAAAGGATCTTCCAAATTAGAAAACTCTAAATTAGGAAAGCATTAATGGGGTAATTGAATGGGGATCAAGGGGGTTGGGGATAGGTTAGGCCATCGGCTAGGGGTTTGGGGAATTGTGGTCGGCGGTGTGGAAGGAGAGAAGGAGGCCGGCAGTGTGATGGGGGAGGAGGGATTAGGCCGACAGTTTAGGGTGGAGATGGGGAGGAGGTCGACTGTTGGGAGGAAGAAGGGTTGTTGGCCGGTGGCCTCGAGGATGAATTGGGAAATGGAATTTGTAATAGATAAAACCACGAACCCAGATGCTTCCTACAGTTGGTGGGTGATGCGTTGCCCTTCACCTAGGGACTTCAAGCCACGAGCCCGTACGCTTCCTGAGGCTGGTGGGTATTATTTTTCCCTCATATAGGGATCTCTCCAAAGTTCTCTCAAGAACAAGAGTGCATAAATTTTTCTTGATAATATTCCATTCACCATTACAAGAAAGGAGGAGGCTATAAATAGCCCAAAATACAAAACAAAAGACAAAGTGCCCCCTTAGGTCACAAGTAGGGTTGTCAATATTGGACCCGACCTGAACCCGAAACGGATTTGGTTTGGGTTCAATAATTCAACCCGTTTCAAAAATTAGGTCGGGTTCAGGTTAACCCGTTGACCCGAAATTGACCCAACAACCTGAGATTGACCTGTTTTGACCCGAAAAGCGGATATTAACCCATTTTTTGACCTGAAAACTAGCAATTTTTTGTTGGCACCAGGTCATTCGGATCGGGTCAGGTTGACCCGGACCTGAAGCGGGTCGGGTTTGGATATGGAAAAATGACCCGTTTGCAAAAACAGGTTGGGTTCGGGTTGACCCGAATAGTGTTGGGACTGATGGAACCCGACCCGTGACCCGAAATTGACACCCCTAGTCACAAGCACCTATTCCCTCAAGCGAGGGTAAAAATGGAAAATGCATAAATAAAAATACAAATAATACTTAAAATAAAATGGTGCGATCAATCTTCATCTCCTCTTCTGATAAGCTTTCACGGTCGGATGTCCGCATCAGTGTGTGAGCTTCTTATGGCTTTTTTGTTTACTACCCTAATGGAATATTGAGTTTGATAAGGAAACATCCAAGTTTACATGGCATTTTTCTCACTCAAGAATTCCCGGTTTTATTGAGAAAGCATGATCTAATAATGACAACCATATTCTTTGGCGAGGTTTCTGTGCAAATTTCGATCAAATTATGAGGACGTTTCTTTTTGTGTTTTCTTCTATTAATATTTAAGTCTTTTTTGGACTTGTGTATCTGGTTTGAGTGTCCTAGAAATCAAATAATCTCTGTATAGTTGTCGAGATTTTTTTAGAGTTATATCTTACTGGTTATTTATGTTTTCTTCTTTATTTTTCTGACTCCCTGTTCTCAGATTTTACCTTACAATTGATTTCCCTAATTATTTCCAAATATTGGTAACTTTCAGAATGAAGATGAGGATGGAGATGAAGATTGGGTGGCTTGATTCGTAAAGTGTTGTTGGAGCATGGTTGGTTTACTGACGGAAGCATCTTTGCTAGTTATTGGTGAGATATCAAACTGACACTGCATCTTCTGAAGTGTAGTAACACTAACTTTGCATCTCAACAAAAACTCTAGCGGGTCATTTGGTTGCTTGTAAATAGAAAGCATGTTTTTATAAAATGGTTTTGCTAGTAAATTGATGAGTTATTATCGGAAATTTTTTTAACTCAATTTATGTGTGAATGAAATCATTCTTTTTTAATGCGTTTTCAGTAAGTTTGTGATGTTTGAAATCAATGTTGATGTCTGATTACATTAAACCAAATGATAGATGCTAGAAATTCATTATTTTTAAAAATATGATCTCTCACTTCAAGCATCCAAATGAGTCCTAATTGATATTACTTAAAATTTTGGTGTGGCGGTCAATGTTGTTGATGATTAACTAGAAAGGAAAAAAGAGACTAATTAAGAATGATTTACTTGCAAGCTTTTCCTCTTGAGAACTCAGGTTATTCATTTGCAGAGTAAAACATGATACAAGAGGCTAGTACAGAAAGAGGTGGCTTTTAATCTTTTGCGCCAAAATCTATAAAATGAGTTCATTACAGCTCGGGAAATGAATGTAAGCAAGTTTTGTTAGAATCTGTCAGAACGTGTAGGTGCATCTGCTTAATACATAGTATGTGACAATTCCATTCATTTGTTTGAGTGATTAGTAGCAGTTTGAATGATTTTATTTTATTTTGTTTTTTATTAATGAGAGGTGGAATCTGGAGCAATACTTGAATTGCCTTCAATATGATATGAATGTTTTGAAATTGGGCCTCCTCAACCCAAGGATAGGACTAGATACATCAGCACCTTTCTAGACTCTTTTGGTGGAGATTTCTTGTGTTGGGTTAGTTTTATTTTCCTGTAGAGGAAAGTGCAAAAGAAATACTATTTGATTGTAGAAAGTTTTTGCTATTGTTGTTGTATAGCAGTAATAATATTGCTATAAGTAGGATATCCCTCATGAATTGAAGCAGATGGAGGCACAATTATCATTCTGGGCCTTTGCATAAAATGAGCCATGAGTAAATGGAAGTCTCCCCTAAAATTGTTTACCATATGAAGAAATGTTAATGACACATTTCTCTAAAGCTCAATGTAGATATTAGGATGCATGGATTGTGCTGGAAAACTATGAATGTTTATAACATGAAATTTTATTTTATGGTCTTCCATATAGCTTGGTAGAGTGTGATTTAGGCGTTAAAGAAATTGATTAGCGGCGGACTGATGGTGTTATTTTAGTGATTGGGTTTATACACTTTGGCTTCGATGGTAATGTTTGAGTTATATTTGATTGAGGTTTGTTTGTAGACTTTCATGTTAACAGTTGCAGGATGACTAATGGTGTGCTGGGAAAGCCAATGCTTGAGGGTGATAATGTATTTGTCATGGGATGCTTGGAATTTTTGCACTTAATATGAAGATCAATGTATTATATGTAGAAAACCATAGGTGAAGAATACTTTATATTTTTCCATTTTTACGTAGGTTCAGTATTCAGAATACTTTGACAAGTGAGCAAGGGACACTGCATAGTTGACTAGCTATAATTTTAAATAGGCAAGAGTTCTCACATCATGGATAGATGTGGGCAAAAAAACTAGCCAATGAAATTAAAATTAGGATATGAAGTTGAAATATAGATTTTCTTACAGGCAAATTAATAAAATTAATAGATATTATGATCCATATGAAGATAAATATTCTTTGCATTTAGATAACTAAATGTGTTAGAGAGAATGCTAAGGATATTGATAGTTTAGGATTTAAACTTTGATAGTCTGGTGGAAGTCGTATTATAAATGGTGTATGTGTGATTATAAATAAGAGTTTGAAAGATATTGTTGTAAAAATTAATAGAATTGGAGATATAATTATAATTTTAAATATTGTTGTTGATGTTAATATTATTAATATTATAAGCGCTTATGCTTCTTAAGTAGGTTTAAATATGTGTTCAAAATTAAAATTTTGGAATGACTTTGAAGAATTAATACCAATGATACATATTGAAGAAAGAGTTTTTATTGAAGAAGAGGAAGAGAAATCTGAGATCTCTCTTTCCACCAAGCTTCTAGGCCACTGACGGCCATCGAACGTTGTTGGACTTTCTCCCAACCATCGACTGTCATCGGACTTACGCCCAAACACCAACTGTCACTAGACTTACGTCCGACCACCAACTATCCTCAGACTTTCGTTGGACTTCCTCTCAACTACCGACTGTCACAAGACTTTTGCTTTGCCACTAACTGTCGTCGAACTTATGCTCAACCACTGACCCTCGCCGGAATTTCGTCGGTTTCTGCTCGACCACGAACTGTCACCAGACTTTACCGGACTTCCGCTCGGCCATCGATTGTCACCAGCTATATTATGGCCTCTCCGACCAACATTGTCAACTACGTTCCTTACGACCTCCATCACCATACAATGGTCTTTCTAATCACTGTCATCCTTCGACTACGGTCCTTTCGTTCACCGCTGTCCGACTACGATCTTTCTGACCTACATTGCCCTCCAACTATGGTCCTTTTCGACCACCATTGCCAACTATAATCTTTCAAACCTCCGTCATCTATGTCGCCCTCCAACTACGGTCTTTTCGACCTTTGTCACCGACGACTAAGGTCCTTCCGACTACCATTGCCCGACGACTACAATCCTTCCGATCACCGTCACCCGACTATGATCTTTCTGACCTTCATCGCCTGTATACTACAGTCCTTCAAGGCTATATCATTTGCCGACTATGATCCTACCGACCAAACGAACATGTGAGTACTTAATCTTCCAACTCCCACCATATAATGCATTATATATGATATATATTTACTACATCGAGCCAAGGCCTTCCCCCCAATGAAGGACCTCATTTGTAATCAATTGCATGTACTAGTTGATTCGTTTTAAATGGACAATGTCCCATGGTTTTTTCTCATTTTCAAGAGTTTCAATGTAAACATTTTGGTGTCTCTTATTAACAAAATACCCCTCTTTATTTGTATGCGTGTTGAATCTTCATACAAAGCCAAGATGCTAAACATTATATTTCTCTACCTGCCGTGAATATTTCAAGATGCAATACTTCTCCTATACAATCTTAACCTTCCATTTTCATTATTCAAATAAAATGTTAAGTCATTCATTTTATTATATCTAAATGACTTAAATCATGACCTTTCATTTTTTTTAAATTAAAATAAACCTATACCGCCCGATTTCACCTATTTGTTTCGTTGCGATTTTCAGCTCTCATAAATTTAGTCGTGACTTTTCATTTCTTCCAAAAAAAAATATATAGATAAATACTACTTTTTTTTTTTCGTACGTTTTTAGATTCTTAAAAAATGTTTCGCCTCTTCAATTCTTCGCCAACCTCTTCAAATTTAATTTATCTTGAGCCCTTTCTCTTCTCCTCTAAAATATGAGGTTGTCTTCACTTCTCTTCCTCTCATTCTTTCTTTTTCTCTTCTGTGCATATGAGACGGCTGCACTAACAAGGAGCGGCTAGAATAACCAATGCCATATTTTTGTGGGTGAGGTTCTTATTCGTTAGATGGTTTGGTATGGACTTATTGAGGAGCAAATATTACGTCAGGTCATCGGACGCGTCCAGAGACCAATAATTACACGCTACGTCACCTGAAATTCGGTATTGAGCATTCGGTATTGCTCGGTATACGTTCGAATTTTTTATTTTTTGTCCGAATGTAATAATTACTCCTTATTAAGGACCAGAATAAGCTTGATTATATTCTTGTTGGAAGTCTCCTGGCATAGATAAACATTTCATTGCTCCGGTCATATATAATTTATTATTCTGATAAATTTTATCTTACTTTTTGCTATCCCAAATCAAGATTGTCTTGCCATCTATAAATCTTTACCTTATTTTCTTTCTATCCACCTTTCAATAGAAATGCAAAGAAATGTTTATAGTGAGAAAGGCCAAAGTAGAGCAAAGTAAATATCAAGTAATCAAACCCTATTGAAAAATAATCAACTTAATTATTTATGAAATGTGCAAGGATTCAAATATTAATTTAAATTATTGATGCACATAAAATTTGACATTCTCTAAAAGACAATAAAATTTTTTTTTTTAAGTTGTTTTTTCTCTGGAATTATGATTTCCTATTTATATCTTTTCTCTTCAGTTGTATAAAATTTTATAGAATAAAATGTGAATTATATTTACAAGGTTTTTTGTTGTTGTGAGATGTTGATTTTCAAGTAATTTATATTCATTTGGTTTGTTTTGTGTTTTAAACTTAATATGCTGGTATCCCACTATTAATTGAGACTATAATTTTAAGGTATTCTTTCAAATGTAATTTAATTGTTGTTATTGCTCTATTAATTCTACTAACAAATAATTTTTTTTAGCATTAAATTATTAAAAAAATCAATATATTTTGTCAAATATAATTTTATATGAATAATTAACTTATTCTTTAGATGATCATTATTGTAAACATTTTTACTATTTATTTATGTAATTAAATAAATATTTTATTATCATTTCTTAAAATTTATTCACGTGTTCGCATTTTTACCAGTAATGATCAAAAGCAGCTTTCTATTTAAAACATGTTAATCTTACCAGTCAAACACAACTCTCCTTGACCTATTGGTTGAAAGCTTAGGCTTCCAACCAAGAGGTCCAAGGTTCGAGTCCATGTGTATGTGTTGTGTGTGTGAGTTTGCCTTAAATGGCCTAAATGTCCCAAAAAAAAAAAAAATCTTACCAGTCAATGACTGCTGAAAACTTTCTATCACTAAGCTAATTCACTAGACTAAGTAGGCTGATAATGAAAAAAAAAAAAAGAAAGAAATCGAAAAAATTATTCTTTGCGGATGCCGAATGTTATCTGGAGATCAATTAAAATAAGTCACGTCAACTCTTCATTATGTACCGCGGCTGGGTATTGCTCGGTATCACAAATCAGTATCGCTGGCGTGATTGCACCTGATTCGTCTCCGAAAATAGAGCTATGAGTGGCCTCCGCGGAGAATAATTTCTCCAAATGACAAATCCAAATCCAAATCCGTGAAATCTCACCAATCATAACAGCTTTAAAATTGGAAAAATTATTACATCCGGTAAAAAAATGAAAATTTGAACGTATACCGAGTGCTCAATACCGAGCTCTAGGTGATATTACCCATGAGTATTAATCTCTGGAGGCGTTCTATGTTCGGACATAATAATTACTCCCAAATTGAAGCTTCATCGCCCAGTCCTAATCCTCCGGACCATTAATCTATCGACCTTCAAAATTCTCATCAGAGCTTGCACTACTGGAACCATCGTTCACACCACCAGCATTACCGAGGAGACCGCTGAAAGGCCCTGGAAGCGAGATTCTTACCCTCCTTCGCCTATTCCTGTTTCCCGAAGATCTTTGTTCTTCCCCAATTGTTGAAGCCAGGCCACTCAAATCCCACGTTCCCCCCGATCGCCCTCCTCGAGCAGCCGGCGCTCTCGCAACCCGCTGCAGGTGATCAGGATCCTCCGTGGGAAGCTCGAACCTGCATACCGGACACGAATTATGCAGCTCGAGCCAACGAACGATACAATCTTGATGGTAGATGTGCTTGCAAGGCATCTGCATCGCCTCAGCACCTACCTCAAACTCATCCTTACAAACTGCGCACTGCGATTCGACGTCTCCAGCAACCATTTCCTCTGAAATCTCGATGATCGGTAAAGCCTCCACCGCCGATTTCGACGCCGGCGGAGTACCGTACCGGTTTGGATCGTTCTCAAAAAGTTGTTGAACGACATGCTCGAGGCCCGGGCCGTATACGTACTCGCCGATGTTTTCGGCAGAGCTGCCGCCGGCGCCATCAAACATGATTTGGATGCTTCCTCCGCCGGAGAAAATCGATTGAATGTAATCGTTGAAGAAGAGCTGAGGATCGAAGCCAGGGTTTTCGGATGGCCGCGAATATTGAGGAGTGGAGTTCATGCCGAGGAGACCGACAAAGTCTCCTGGATTTCTAATTTCCACGCTGCCCGAAGAGGAGTTGAACGGGAGAGCCGACGTTGGGGCGATCGTAGAATCTTCAACACCGGCTTGGCTGGAGATGAAGGACCCTGATTCCGGTACCTCGAGCTCCTCGACGAAGCTGTCGCCGCAGATAGGGCAGACGGGGTCAGTGCCGACAGGGGGGACGATGTTCACTGTTGTTTCACACCGGTGGCAAAAATACAACAGCGAGGTGATGGCACCGCCTGTGGGATTGGCGGCGGAGGACATTTTTCAGGTGGCGATGACGATGAAGCTAACGGTGAGCTGTCGGGAAATGAGAAAAGCTGTGTTAGTTTCAATTCTTAAGGCCGAATTCCAGGTCGACAGGCAGCCGTTATTTGAATCGGCCATTCGTGCTAAATTATAGAATTAATAATTATCCGTATTATTAATTAATTCTAGGATTTATTTTTCAAATATATTATATTGATTATATTTTATTTTTAATTTATTAATAAAAAATTATCTCAAATATAATCTGATAATTATTATTATTAGATACGGTTATTAAATAATTAATTAATTCTTACTATTTTCGATTGAATTTATTAAATAGTGAATTTTATTGCTCAACACTGAAGAGGTGGAACATGTGATGTCCACATTCAGAGATTAAATGACCATATTCATTTTTTTAATAACTATATTTAAATTAATAATAGTTAGATTAAGTATTCTATTAATGACATTTCATGCAATTTAATTATATTTATAATATAGATTATGAAATTAATCAATATATTAAATAATTATAGTTAATCATAGAATCTAATGTTACTATTTATATTCCCATGGTGACATTATTTTAGCATCAATGAATTTACTCTATTTCTTAATTTATATATTTAAATTAAAAATCTATTTTTATTTAAATATAAGTATTAAAAATATAAAATTATTCTATTTTTATTTAATTTAATATTAGTATAAATATGTCTATATAAAAATAAAAAATATAGCAAATGAGAATATCCTAAAGAATAAGTATATCTATACAATAATAAATACTATAGATTTCTATCATAACTATTAACCAAATATAACAATATTGATATGATAAAACTTTGAGTATAATTATTCTAATAATTCTAATAATGAGGAGTTACCTATTAGAGCCACCAAGAGATCCTTTTATTTTAGGCATTCTTCTAGATCAAATGGAAGATAATAAGAATGGGAGCCCAAAGATAAAATTTAATTAATGATAGGTTCAGATTCATATAAGAAATTATAAAAACATGTGAAACATATGAATATCCTACAATCAAAGTAGGATGTGCTTATTGAAATATTAATAATCTAATAATTAAAAATTAAGCAAATATTGTATATCATATTATGTTGTAATGTAATTTATATGATATCAAGTAAAATGAATGGTTATTTGATAAAAGTTTTATAATTTTGTTGTCTTCTTGTTGTGAGAGATAAATTTTTATAGTAAAAATTAACTTCAAAGTAATAAAAATTGATTGAATGATTAAAATAGAAATAGTTGATTGTGAACAAATAATATCAATTATATTTATTTTAAAATAATTAATGAGGTTAGTAATGAAAAAAAAATCTATTTATAGATAAATTCAAATAAAGTATTAATTAAAATTAAATAATATTCACATAATAATAATAATAATAATAATAACCAAATTTTTTAATAAAAAACTTTATAATATATTAAATACATAATAGTAGATTCTTTTGTGTGATGATATGAAAATAAATTATAGATAGTATTGACTTAAAAATATTCAATACAATTTTGAATAAAATTATATTTTAGAAATGCATACTTGTTTAAAATTTTTCATAACAAATATTTTTTAATTTATATAATAGAAATTTTTCGCATAATAGTTGGCTTAAGTTTTATCAAATATCTAAAAATTAATTCTTGTCTTAAAAGTTAAAATACATAATCAATGAAGAAAAATGATTAGAAAACGATACATAAATGTTCATGTTCTTCATGTTTCTTATAATCATTCTTGTGTTTCCTTTACAAGTTGTGATATGAATATTTTGGTAATTATTTTATATTATTAATTTATAAAACCATCCTGATATGCTACTAAGGTAGATGAAAACATTTGTTTGCTACTCTGTGTGTTGATGTCTATTAGCAAGGTTTAAAATTTAAAACTCTTAAGTGTTGATGTACCAACTTAGAATGTGTTTAGGCCTTCTATTGCTTTAGTGGTGGTGGAAATTGACACAACTCTAAAGTTTCATAATCTTATTGTTGTTATGAACATAAAGTTGTGTGAGAATATCCCAAAATAATGCTCACATTATCATCTATTTGGCCATATTTTAGCATATATAAGAAAATAAGTGGTTGTCTTGTTGGCTAAAAAAATAATGTAGTGTAAAGTGTACATTCCAAAGATAGGGTTGTCAATGGTTGTGGAAGTCAACAGTGGTGGTCGACGATGGCGGTGATCAAAAGTGGTGGCCGACAGTGCATGGTGGTAGACAACAACAGTGGTCGACAGTGTTGGAGGCTGGTAGTGATGGCAGTCCACTAAGGAAGCCAGAAGTGATTACTGGTAGTAGCAGACAATGAAGTTCTAGTGTAATATTTGAAAATCAACCAAATTGAAAGAATTCCAAATACTTAAAAGATAAACTAGATGGTGAATTCCAAATACATCAAAACCCTATACTGCATTTGGTTAACTTCAAACCAAATACCAATATTCTCCAAATCCCTGCATTTGGAATACTTTATGCCCCTTTTACTTCAAACAAAACTGCCCCTAAGTAATTTGGAAATGCAACATCGTACTAAAAATATACTTTATATCTGTGGAGCCAATGGTAACTACCTCAGGACAACCCTAGCCTATTGCAAGCCAAATTCAAATCAAAACTTAAGCCTCCCTTTCCTTGTTATCTATCCTTGCAACTATTGCTTAAATGGATATTCTTTGCATTATTGATGGTCCAAGATACTCACTCTAAAATACACACATATTTAAATCCTTCTCGTTTTTTTTTTTTTTTAATTTTTTTTTTAAATTATTTTTAATCCTTCTCGTTCTTTAATTGGCCTTGATGACTGTGTTATTGCTCAGGATTTACAGCTCAATAATGTTATAGTTACTCAACGTTTTTTAGAAATCTAAGTTTAAAATGGAATTTATATCTATCATAACAACTGAGAAAATGATCAAGCTCTTTTGATGAATTTTCTTTAAACCTGATACGTCACCTAAATCGCCTTAATCTAGCGCAAATCTCGAGGCATATCTTAGTTGAAAAATTTTAAAAATTAAATTTGGGATCATCTGAACACCAATTTTAGCAAACTTATAATCAAATTGAACGTCTTAGTAAGATGAATCCAACAATACTAAAATTTGTCCAATCCAAACTTAAATGGGCTCAAATTATGGGCTTAAAGCATATTGGGAAGCTTTAGAGCATTAATTAGATGACCAAATAATATCAAATATGGCATACTTATAGTCGAATCGAGCTGTTCAACGAGACAAATCCAACGAGCCGAAAATCGCTTAATTTTGATATCATTAAATCCATAGACTACTGTCACTCTGATCACCATCACTTGTTGACATTGCCTGTCGAATATGGTCTTTTCTGCAACAACCCAAATATATGAAGAGTATTTTTAATGAAAAATATGAATTTTTGAATTTCAGATTCAACTAGAGTGATTTGACATTGTACGTGACTAATCTCTTATGGAAGAAATTAGAGGAGAATGGGGGAGATGAGGAGAGAGAAAGTCTATTGGAGCATTTTTATCCATCATTCCTTTTACAAAAGTATTCTAATCATTGTACTCGACAAATCTCTTACTTCTATTTTCAATGATTTTGATTTCTACGAATTAATTTAACTCTCCAAAATTTGTCAAAATTATATCATTTCCTGATTTTCTAAGCTTTCAAAGCATAACTTTTGATATGCTAGAGATTTGATAATTTTAAACGATTTTTTATATGATTTTTATTATACTTTCTCTAGTTAAATATGTGTATAATAATTTCTAGGTGAAATGAGTAAGAGAAAAAAGACATACTAAAAATGGACTGAAAGCAATATACTATGATTTAGGTAAGGATTCTGCAGCTTAGGCTATGTATGCAGTGGTGCTAGAGTGGTTTTATTTTAATTTCTTTAATTTTTTATTATTTTGTAGTCAATATGGCTATTGTATATATTGTTTTGAATTCTATCGATATGATATAATTTTTTAATATATAAATGTGAATTAAGATTTCCATTGTTTATTAAATCCCTATTAACTTGTTTAGGTTTATAAAAAATCATAATATAATTTAAGATAAATGTAAATCGCACAATATACTCTATAAAACCTTAAAAAAATATATGCTAATTGAGGTGAACCCTTATAAATAGTAAGATATAAATAATCGATAAATACCTTAGTGAGATCTTAGGATTGATAAAAAAATCCATCATACTACTAAGATGAAGAAGATGCTTAAAAGCTACTTTGCAATAGGTTATTAGGTTTCTTGGAAAAAAATTCAAGGTATACTATTTGCATTTATGAAAACTTTAAGAAGTTAGCGATATCTTATGTTATTTGTCAAATCCTAGTACAATGTTGAGGTTAATGCAAATCTTAGTGGTAGAGAAAATTTTGGGTTATTATATTGTGATTTAAATTTGGCCAACCTACTTCTTATAGTCATTATTTACTTAAAATGAGTGTAATATAAGACCTAATTAAACATTTTTTTTATAGAAAGGAGTTAATAATATAATGGTTTTAGGAGATTTCATAAGAAGAAATAAAATACGAGGTTCAATAGGGTTAGACTAATAAATCTTATCTCACTCTATGTATAATACTTACAAGAAGTTATATCATTAAGTTTAAAGTCAAGTAGAGAATCTTAGTTGATTAGCCTTATAAAGAGAGTGGATTTTTAAAGATTAATTACACCTATATCACCTCTAAAAAGTTTTCTCGATAAAAACATTATGCTTTTGTTTTAATTTGTATGGTTTAACATCAAAAGTTTGTAGTGATTGATAATACATGGGGTAAATTATTGTAAATAAGTCAGACAGTTATCTCTCCACATGAAAAATATATATGATTATAATCATTGAATCACCAAGGTGTCAAAACGAGTGTGTGGAGAGTATTGATAAAGTTAAAAAAAGTAGAAATAATATAGTCAAAATTTTGTGTTTGTCTTCCCATGTTATCTATCTTGAAGTTATTTAGTCATGAATGTAGGTGACCTAATTCGATCATGGGACACCTAATTAGCAAGTATGATTTACATCATCCAAAGTTAGCCT